GTGTTATCTGGTGTACACCTGATCTGGTGTGCTGGGTAAGACTGTGAGGTGTGGCGTTTTAAAAACAGGACAATCCAAGCTCTTACAAAAGATACTTCCTGTCACCAGGGACAGTATAAAAAAAATACTTGGATCAAAATTTCCATGTAAGAAATAGATATGGTTCTTCAGTGTAAAACTTTATTATAAATGACCTCTGGAGAGGTGAGGACAAGAGCACATAGCGAAGGGTGTGGTACGGTCTTCGTGAATGTTTTGTGTTTTTAAACTGGCTCTTTTTGAAAGGCCACTGTTGTCTTGGCCTTGACCTGTGCCTCCTGCTGCTGACTGCAGGGCAATGGGTGCTGATGCTGATGTGTATGTACAGACAAACTGCTGTGTCACACATGTGCAGCTCTTAAGACAATCCCAGTGCTTCTAGAACAGCCTCAAGACATGACAATGCACAACTTTGTACAGCCACCACTGTCCCATCAAACATACAACCACAAATTAACAATTCAACCATAAATCACTGGCACTACGACTTTTGACTGCTGACATTTGGTGGAATGGATATGTGCACATATGAAAGTGATGCACCGGACATCACAGATTTGATATGCAAGTACAGAAATAGCCAACTGACATGCTGACAGGCCTTGACGGCACAGGACAGACATGGTAAAAAAGTAAGGTCTGGGAAGGGCAATCAAGTGCTCACACAACAATCTTGCACGAGGTGCAGAGTAGTAGTATTGATTTTTTGGGGTATATTCCTGAAAGAAATGCAACATGATCCTACAGTGGGTGATTGATACTCCCTCAATGCTGAACAAATCACAAAAGCGCAGAATTTCTCCAGTTTTGCCATTTCGTTCCAGTCAAGACCCCAACACCTCATTCATAAATATTAAGTCTTTTTAGTCAAATTTGAGTTAACCTATCTTCTTGAAGGGATAGGTGCTTTCCCATCCAAGCTGTGCTCCTAATAAACAATTCTGCTGACCTATGTATAAAAATTATTTTAATTCAGTTGAGAGACTTAAAATAAACAGAATGTAATTTTCATGTTTTTCCTGCTATGCCAACTGGATGTGCAACTGCACATGTGAAAGAAGTGCACTATGTTTACTTATATAAACATATTAGAGACAGATCTTATCTGTTCCAGTTCCACCCTGGGTTCCTGCTTACTGTAACTCATCTGTGTGGTCATTGACTATTTTTGGATTATTGTTTTAGAGACGATTTGATAATGGAAGAAACCCAACCTTAAACAATAAGGAAACAACACATGGGTTTGAGGAAGGCAGACAGGAAGTCACATGCCTGGATCATTCCCACTCAACTCAAGTGTTTTGTTGAACCTACAACGCTTCCTCAGGAGTCAATCATTACGAAAGGTCTCACAAACAATAAAAGTAACCAGCTAACAAAGTTTTCTTTTACTAATAGCTAAATATAACAAAAACTCTAATGTTGTTATATGAGCTGTCAGTTATACTGTATATGGTCAGTTTGTATAAGACGTGGACAAAATATCGGTATGAATTACAGCACTGGTCTGGTAAATTTTTTTTTTTTTAAGCCTGAGCCCATACAGGGCGTAGGAGCTATTGCTTTCGCAATGATGAGTGCATGGGCGAAGCATATTTGTTTTTACTAACATGTCATAGTCAATATTTGAGTCAATGGGCAAAATGCTCTTGTCCCCAAACACTGCTGGCATCAAGCTGTATCCAAGCCCCCATGCCAAAGGCATGGACCATATTTATAACTGCTAAAAATGAACAGAAATCAGAAAAAAATCAGAAAATGGGTGACCCCGACATGATGCCGCATGACGAAGGCATAAAATCACTGTACATCATCTAGACAAGTGGGGGATTAAAAGTTAGCCCATTTTTTATGATAACTATCACAGTTTATGTTCGGTGAACTTGCAAATTTCATTTAGATAAAAAAAAAAATTATGTGTCAAAATTTTGTCCTGTTCACACATACAAAGTCGGATTGGGCTCAAATTTTAATCCCATTAAAAAAAACCTACTAACTGTGACACAACCAAAAATAATGTTATAGCGCCCCCTACAAAACACTAAATTTTGCATGGAGTGTCAAAATTTTTGTTTTTCCAAAATGTACACAATTTTGCAGAAAATTACTCTGGGTCATCTCAATCAAAAAAGTCAATGTAAACCATATGGTGTTTTTAACTGTATTGCCATGGTGATGCACGAACGCTTCAGTGTCATCCTAATGATCCTCAAAAATTTCCTTTCATGATAAAAATATAATACATTGGAATATTATGAAATTTGGCACAATGACTCATCATGTCATTCTGATCAAAACAGTCAATGACAACCATATGATATGTTTCACTTGGTTGCCATGGCAATGCATGAGAGCACCTGTGTTATCCAAATAGCAAAATTTGCTTACATTTCAAAGTGATAAAACAACTTCTTAGTTTCATTGAAGAACGTGAAATTTGGCACAGTGATTCTTCAGGTCACACAGATCAAAAAAGACCAGGAGACAAAGTCGTAGTTTGCATTGGGGTTGCCGCGGCAATGTCCCAAAATGCCCATGTTTATCTATGTTACCACATCAGCATCTCCAATGTCTGCTGACTTAGTGTGTTTAGTGACAAGTACAGCCCAAATAAGACATAAATAAATAACACAGAGACAAATAAGGGACTGCCGGGTCAGCCGAGTGCGAAGCGTGGCCTGTAAGGGCTGTTTGATGCTGCTTGCGGTTTTGATTTCATATGTTATCAGCCAGAACAACAGGACAATTATTGGATCTAGGTACTGAATAAAAAATATGGACAGGTCAAGCCTCATATGAAAGTTCAGAACCTTTAGAATTCCCTCGCTGGGCTGCAGAGGCTGCACTAGCACTGACTAATAACTGGCTGCAGGTGCTGGAGTTTAGGCAATGAGGATTCAGATCAGAGAGTCATTTCAAGTTTAAAAACAACTGAATTTCAGCACTGAAACTGGCAGCCTAGCCCAATGAAACTCATGTAAGGCTCATTTTGGAAAATCATCTTGAGAACCAAACTACCCAATTATTAACAACTAGGCCATTACATCCAATGATAAAGAAACAAGATAAAGCCAGACATTACTCTAGCAGCTTTTCTGTGTGTCAGCCGGTACCTCCTGGACCCTAAAGCCAGACAGCCCGGAGCAGCTCCTCTTCGACAGAAGTGCACTTTATGGGGAGTGTTTGGACAGCTGACTGGCACAGCTTTTGTTTGCAGCAGTCAAGTGACCAGAACAGGACGGGAAATTTAGAGCAAAAATACAACTCAATCCTGCTTACAGCACTGCACAATATAACCACTATAGTCATGTGCTCATACATTCAGTCAGGCTTTTGAGATATGTTCCTCATGACTCACACATCCAGTAAGAAAATTTATGTTTTTAAACACCTACAAGAAAGACACAAGTGCTAAGAAAAATCATGCAAGCAGTACGAATAAATAATGTTAGTGACATCAACTTTGTCACTTCCATAAGTCAACACTTATTTAGTTGTGAACATAGATGCTTGAAATGGTAACTTTAGTTGCTCCAATACACATCGAAATGCTAATTTAGGTGCAATTATCAAATCCCAAAGATGACAATTATTAGAAAATATGTCCTCTGTAAAAAAAATATTTTTATTGAAATTCTATGGTTGTGTGGTCCTGTGTTTGTCTGCAGAGTTCTGTTGATCTGGCAGGTTCAATATCTTCTCTGTCAGCAGAGAAAAACAAGTGAAATAATATTTTCACAATAGCTTCAGAACGTTGTACCATTATTCAACGCCAGATATGAGTTCAATAGAAATAAGTTGGATATTTCTTTCTAAAACAGTAAATCTCCCATAGGATCACACAGGTCCCTGCCCTCCATCTGAAATTATGACATCAAATGAGAGCACAACCTATTCTAATACAATACTGAAGAAGAAAAAAAAAATCATACAGGACTTATTGAATATACCCCAAAATCTGTAAACCTAGCATGCAATTAAATGTTTATTTTTGGGACATTTTTTAAGTCTAATGATCCACATGTCTGACTTTGTTATTACCAGTTACTGATTACTACAAATAAATGACCTTATGTTGTCAAGACATCAAGAACACAATAGAGATTCATATCACTTTTTTTGTTTTAGAGCAGAAGTAGAAGCTATGTTTTTTTTTCTAATCTCTCACTTACAGAGCTATACAGTGAAAGACAGAGAAGTACCTTTTTCTTGTGTTTGTGAAGATATTAAATGAACAATATCATTTTCATTCAAATTCAGCATTCATTTTGCAATATTTGACTCACAAGCACTGTTTTTTTTCAACTTCTCAATGTACCTTTCAGTTGTGTATAGTGGCATTGGTTGGCACTATTTTAAGGGAAACTATTTAATCAAACTGATAAGCAGTACAGAACAATGTGAAGCACTGGCTTGGAATCTATCTAATGGCTGCAATTATTTACACTCTAATGATAACAACTCACTAAGTAGGCACTGCCTCCACCAACCATTTCCCAGCAAAAGGAAACCAGATGGAAAGATGGACACTATATATAGGATGTAAACACTGCACTGAATAAGAGCAGGTTTTAGTTGTTTGTTTCTTTGATAAATTAACTATAAATCTGGTCTGCAGTGTACCAATATCTTTGGACTTCGTCACTCATGAAGATAGCATTTCTAATCATGCTAGGAATCATACATTTTTCAAGCTTTGACATGGTGTTGCATAAGATAGAGCTATATAATAGGTGTGGAATAAACTGAAATTGTCTCAGGTTTAAGGTAGTTCTATTAGGAAGTGAAACTTTTCTTTTACTTTGGGTTAAACATGCCTAAACATCTTGACTCAGCAGATAGCCCACTATTGCTCAATTTACTACCATAAAAGTTTCATTCACTGTACACCCTGCAAACATCAGCCTAATTTTAAATGAACTAAACAGTTAGTCGGTACAATCCCTGCAACTTTAGAACATTAGTTGTATAGCTGGTTAATCGGGTTTGGTCATATTTATCTAGGTGTACCAAATGAACCACTCTACAGTATTTAGCTTCTTACATGTAAGTTGGGGGTGTCTATTATCAGAGGCAGGGGGTGACACAGTGGAGCCAGAGCCTGTATCTGTTATAGAGTGATGTGCGTGCTGTAACACCTGCTGTGTGGGCTAATGCACGGATAAAAGATGGTTTAATATAATAAGGCCCAAAGTGGTTTAGATTCGGAGAACCCTACAATGATGTAAACAGACTTACCTTTGCCATTCTGCCACGCTGTGTACCAGGACAGGCTCAGGAAGGACGTGAAGAAGATAATCGCCGTGGCCACAGTACCATTTCTGAGCCTCATCTCATTTTCATGTCAGCGATGCCTCTCTGGTGCCTGCCTCCCTCTCGCCTCTCGCCGGATCTCTGGGCTGTTCAAATGGGCGTAGACAGAGCCATATGTGAGCGTCCAAGGGTAAAACAGAACGGACGGGCCGATAGCTCTCCTCGGTCCTCGGTCGGCTGGTCTGGGGGTGAACGTTTTGTCATAGAGAGCCCCTGCGTCGTCCTACAGCGAAGGGTCACGAGTTAATCAGGGGTCCGAAAAGACTGCTCACATAGTCGGGCAATGTAAAACAGACTCCCTGCTGATCAAACCGCAAATGTTCAAAAGCAGACGTAAGCTACAAGTTACAAAAATAAGGAATTTGAGTGTGTCACGGGTAGAGACCCCGGGATAGGCTGGCCGAGCTCTGACGGTGTCCAAAAGCAACGCCCCGAATCACGTTGATTCAGTCCGAGCTGGCAACAGATGAATAAAACTACGGTGTGCTCCACTGCGAAGATATAGCACCCTCTTTGTCAATATACAGGTCAGCTGACCAGTCCTGCTGCAAACAAGCTAACTTACATTCATGTTAGCGACTAAGTTAGCTACAAAGCTACATTAAGTTACAAAAGAAAAAGAAGGGAGAAATAAAGTCTCCCGCGTATGTTTAAACAAAAAACAGCACACTTAGATAAACAAACTACCGGAGAAATATAATTTTTTTTAAAATAGTCCACCGGTCACGATGCGTTAGCAAACTCACCAGCTGCTGCTGCCGCTGTTGCTGCTGTTGCACCGCCTGCGCCCACCTGCACACCAGAGTGCGGGCGAACACCGACTGTTTCCGGGTCTACCGAAATAAAGCAAGAGCTTTGCTGTTTTGAAAGTGTTTTTATTTCAGTGCAATCATTTCCATAATAAAATTAGGTTTTTGGCCTATATATTTTACACGTTCTTCTTAAGTACATTTTATTTGACTTACTAAAAGGATGAGGGGAATGATCAACACAGGGTAGGTTCATATACAGTCTATGGGCAGGTCGCTAAATCATGAGGTAAAGCCCATAGCTAAAGCGGACAAAGTATAAAGAAATTCCCAATTGAACAGGTGATGTGATAAAACTACTGAATTTGAATGACAAAGGCTTAAATGAACCTAAATTAACCTTGCTCAGTGTAGTAAATGATCACAGTGCGCCATCTAGTGGGTAGATCATAAGTGTTTTTACCATCCAGGATGCCAGTGGGCTTGTGTGGAAATATATAGTCATACATTCATTTTATTTTGGGACACATGAGGTGGATTTATACATTCTCTTAAAATACTGTAGTCCAACAAGTTGCCTACTTAAAACCCTCAAGTTTCCAAGTCCTGAAAAAAAATAAGACATGAAATACAGCAACACAGCCAAAATAATCTCAGAAAGGCGTAGCTTTAAAGTAATCTTCCAAAGGTATTAGTGATGTGCCTCCAGTCCAGTCCTGCAGCCATACTTGGATCAGGTCTAGCCTCATGAAAAACCACTTGTGGCTCACTGGCCATTTGGCCATGACAGGATGTCTGCAATTACAAAATAAAAAATAAATAAATATTACAGAGCTGAGCAAATTTTCATCCTATTTTGAGAGTTTACATAGCCTTTGGCTACACATAACACTCATGATTCAATAGACATACCTGGAAAACATTGCTTCCTTCGCAAATGATACATCTTCGGGAGGTACTTCCATCATCTTTCCTGTAAGAGTCAGTCGAGCACATCTCGGATCCTCAGGATCATACATCATTTGCCTAAAATACAAATGCAGAAATAGATGCTTAAATATAACTGTAAATTATTTTTTTCTGTGCAACTCAACACAGAGGGAGCTCACCGACAAAAGTCACCTTCTGCCTCAGAAAAGGTCAAAGATGCATATGGGCTTATCTTCAAGTCTGAGACAGAGTTGTCCATTGGAGTCATATAGAAGTAAATGATTCCAGTGCTATTTTCCAGGGGGCCATCACTGACTGAAAAGATGTTTCCAAATGGGATTCCTTTTATCTGGACAGAATGACAAGCAAAACATTAGAATCACAGATGTACTGATAATCATCAACTTTCAGTACATCTGTGATTTTAATGCAACAAAGTGCAATGAACAGTAATGATAATAATAATAGTGCTTTTCCGGACGCTCAAAGTCGCTTTACAATTTCATGGATTATTCATTCTTTCCATGCTTGTGGTGGTAAGCTACTATTGTAGCCACAGCTGCCTCTGACCACCACCATCATACGCTCACACCATTTTCATACTAGGCAATGCGGGTGAAGTGAAAGCCTAAAGACACAAAATCAGTTTTTGCCACTGATGCCCCACTGTGTCACCTGGAATTCCTGGCAGTTTCCCATCCAAGTATTAACCAGGCCTGGCTTGCTTAGCTGCTGAAATCTGATGCGATTGACTGATTGATACTTTGCAGTAACAAGCAAACATAGTCAAAAAAAGTTTTAATATAGTCCGAAAACTCAATGAAAAACAACAAACAAAAAAGATCTCTGTGATCAATACAAGTGTTTATTTTCCCATTTATGTATTTGATGTAAAAAATAATAATAAAAAAAAGACTAATGTTAGCTAGCTTGTGACTGTAATGTTATTTGATACGGACTTGTTATCTAACCTGTTGTCGTGAGATTGTGTTAAAGTAAAGCTCAGATTAAAATCTAACTTGAGTAACAGAGCAATGCTTCCAGTTAGCATCAGAAGAAAGATTAGTTTGATAACAATTGCTTTATATATAGTATAATATAATATAATATATATATAAATAATATATAATATATATATATAAACACACACACACAGAGAGAGAGAGAGAGAGAGAGAGAGAGAGAGAGAGAGAGGACACTGTCATGGATCTAACTAATTCATTCACACAATATTATGGTATATCTATTCTAAGACCTGTTGGGCAGACCAGGGTCTATTATTGCATCAAATGCAACAGTTAATGTAAGTGTTAATGTAATACAACCTATAACTGTATTATAAACATGTTCTATCATAAGGGCCACCGCATTAAGCTCTTACCCCCTCTTGAGATGAAATGGTGGACAGCACCCCCCAGTCACTATTGTGAGCAATGTATCTGGCAGTCCTCGCAGTCTCTTGATGCGGAGGAGGTGTGCTGCTGGCGGAGTTTTTCACCTTTTCAACCGGATACGAAAAAAGACGAGATGACAGCTGGACAACAGTGTCTTCCTCGGACTTTACCATCTCTCCAGGACTCTCAGCCTGCTTCTTCCACAGCCCGGTGGTGTCCACCAGCAGCGCGGGGGCCACCTCCTCTGACAGGTCCGCGTCCTCCGGCTCCACTACATCGTTCGAAACCACCCAGGACACCGAGCTCCTCAGGGTGTAGCCCCGACACACACACAGCACAGCGGCAATGAATGCCAGCGAAATGGATCGGGACTTCATCGAGGGGGTACAGAGGGGCCTCTCTGCTGTCCTCTGTGTTTACATGCTCACGTGTCACGTGTAAGAGTTTCTGTTACACGAGGAGGTTTAGGAAGACAATTTACGACAGTGGCCCCTGCTGGCGAAAGAGATAAAAGACAACAACACGCCTGGACTAAATAGCAAGAAATCTAAGCCCATCTTCCCTACTGACAAAGATAGTCTGTTTGATGCAGACAAATAGACAATGATAACAAATATTTCAGGTTAATTTTACTTTGTGTATAAAGTGCAGTTTCATCCTACAGTTTCACAAATTAAGTAGGCTAATGTAGAATGCACAGTGCATTCCACAAAAGTACTACAAATGAATTAAAAGGATGTCCCACATAAACGTGCCCATATATTCGACTTACTAAATAAGTTAAATGGCACAGAAATGACAAGATTCAATTCTCATCCAGCATAAAAGGGAAAAAACACAGTTGTCACATTTAAATAAATCTTTGATGTAATGTGTAGAGATGATGCAGAATAATTTGAAGCTCTGATTAATTAAAAGTCTTATATTAGGCCATGTAAAGGTTCATTATTCCACTGCTGCAGCCTACTGTGCATAGACAAAAAAATAGCAAAATTACAAAACACAAATAGTTGTTTCTTGCATTATATCCCTTTCTCTTGAAAATGTTACATTTTATAAAATACTTTAAAACATTCAGTAGTAAATACGATATTGTTACTTTTAAATAGCCCCAACACAGTTCATATATCATTAGTCCATGGTCTTATCACTCCAGGCCATTGATTTTCTTTTTGCAAGCTCTATCCAGGACAGTTCTCCACTGTCAGACATAGACTGTAGGGTAGAGGACAGAGTAGGAGAAGGTGATGGAGCAGAGGACGAATCAGCAGTTTTTCGAATCCATTTTTCTTCTTTAGGCCTCTCTGGGATCTTTTTAGTGTTTGACGCTGTAAACATTTTTGTTATTATTGGCTCTTTAATCATCATATACAGTAACTTTAACATACCTAGCATATTGACTTACCTGTATGCTTAGATTCTGCTTTTGCCTCTTTGTTGACTAATGTGTCACTTTTTATTTCCACTGGTGAAGATGTCCACTCAGCTCTTTTCTCCAAAAAAGCCGCCTTCTTACTCACTGATGCGCCCCAAACTGACTGACCCTCTGTCTCTACAGTAGCTGTGCTGGTCTTACTTTCAGCAGTGCTATCCTGAGTAACATCTATACCTGTTGAGCGCAGACTATGAGTACCCCATAGAGGCTGAGCTGTGTTGTGAGAACTGGAGGGGCTCTGTGATGTGCTTTCTACCTGTCGAATAGAGCGCAGAGGAGATTGGCTGGTCCATATATTGCCCTGAGTTACAGAGTGGCTGACTGCCTCTGTTGATACTGGCTGTGACAGTGTTGGCTTTGTGATTTGAGTTTCTCTAAAAGGAGATGCTGATGAGGTCTGCTGTGCTGTGGTTGCAGGCAATAATTGCTTTACAGTTTGTGCTGGGGGTTTGAGATCTACTGCCTCAGTTGTGGCAGCACTTGTTAATGGCTGATTTGTACTTTTTGCATCCAATCTTTGTGTGACTGTTTGTGCTAGATTTGGTGATTGAACTTGTATTTTATCTGAACAAACTGCTATCTGCCCTACAGAAAAATCTTTTGGAAATTTACTTGTGAACAGATTTTGGAGACATTTAGTCTTTTCCATGGCCATACTCATCCAGGATACTTCTGTTGAAGTGGTATGTGGCTGGGGCCCCTGAGGGGCCTGGGAGGAACCTTTCACTTGTGAGGGCTGGGCCTCAGCACAAACCAGTGGGGTGTTAACAGGAGCAGGGGCTGTTTGTTTGGCTGGGACACTGGCTGCAGATGAGGGAGTAGATACATCTGTGGAAAGACACAACTGTTAGACATACCAAGTTCAAAGGTCTAGAGTCAGTGTAAAAATGTTATCACTCTCTGCGATTATTAACCATGTGAATGTACTGTACATTACCAGTGCAAAGAGAGTGTGTGTAATAAATAACTCTATAGGAAAATGAAGCACAGAAAATATGCTTAAACTCACCTTGCTTGGTTTCTGCAATTATGTTTTTTGTAGACAATAGGTCAGTATTATTACTTGTGTCTTGTTTATGTTGTTTCTCCTCAGTCACTGCTGACTTTAAACATTCATTTGAAGCTGTTTTTGGCTTCGGCCTCACATATAGCGATGTGGACCGCAGTTTAACACCAAATGTTGTCTTTGCTTCTTCCTCTTCTGACTCTTTTGCTGTGTCAGAATGGTTACCTATGTCTGTGAGTTTGTTTTTAGAGGGTCTTGCTGTTTCTACCTTTCTAAGACTATCCTTTATCATCCATGTTTCTTCTCTTCCCATTATAAAGGGAACTGCACCAGGTTTTAAATCCACTTTAGGGCTTATGTTTGGAGAGGTGTCCAGTCTTTTTTCCCCTGTCTTTATCCAAGCATGTTCACGATACCCAGTGAAACTGCCTGAACGTGGCCTTTCCTCCTCTTCCTTCCTTTTAGATGCAGACAAATGAAAGGAACCAGAGCCTGGGAGAGGTCTCTTAATTGCTGATGTCCTGTCTACCTCAACTGTATGTCGTAATGTTATTCCTGCGCTCACAGATGGCTGGTCAGAAGACATTGTTTTAGATTTCATATTAGTAGCCCAAGTCTTGTTTTGTGTATCCCTTAAAAATTGAATGTCAACATTTCCAGAGCTGTCAGACCTTCCCGTTACGTCTGATGGAATAAAAGATGAGTGTGGCCGGGGCATTATATCTAAAGTTCTGTTCACTTTTGGTCGAAGAATCTGTTGGGACACTGTGGGCATTTTCCCAAGTATAGAAATGTCTTTTTGGGGAGAAACACTGTTAGACGAATTGGACGGTGTCTCAGGCTTTATGAGTTCTGATACCACTGATGTAGCTTCATTCACTTCTGCATTCTCAGTTTCACGTTTAAGCTCTTCTTGGACGTCAGACTGTTCATTCTCCTCTTTAAGTGTTTCTGAGTTGTTTAGGTCAGATGTTAGAGTTGTGGGCTCAACCTGTACAAACAAGAATAAAATATGTTTATAATAATAATAAAAATACCAGAAGCTTGTTTTATTTAAAATATCCAGAAAATGTAAGAATGTTCAAAAATGTTATGGTAAACTTTAACACTTGTTGCACTGTGCTGTCATGTATGTTTTAATAAGATGTTCATTACAGTGGACTGTCTCTTCTTGGTGCTGGCCCTCTGGTTTCGGGGTTTAACAGATAGGCGGTGGCGGGCAGCTGATGTATCTAAGATGGGGGTGAACTGAGCTGGAGAGCTGAAGTCCAATGGTGTTTCCTCGATGGGAGATGTTTTTGGAGAAGGTTTTATTGGTACTGGTTTAATAGTGGGATTAGAGGATATTTGGGATAAGGCCTGAAAAAGATACAATAAAAACATTCATTGGCACATGTGTATTTGTGTATTCTGGTAATTGTAGAAACATACAGTATTTATTCCTTTAAGTATTTTCTGGCATAGATCTCAAACCTAAATTCTCTAACAGTACCATTCACATAGTATATTATAGTTTTTATTCAAGATAGTATTTCAAGATATTTAATACACTGTGTTCAAAAACTATAATACTAGGATTTGTGTGACATTCGATGTCCATTTACAGACTTTTCCTACAGTTAGAACATGATGTGGAAAGGTGGTTGTGTGCTTGATCTTAGCTGTATGACATAAATAAACAAAGCACTTGAATCTATAGCCACACTTTATTGTTTATATAATAATAACTTCACTAAACTTATACATTTAGAAGTTTTAGAAGTACCTTATTGAGAGTTTCCTGTGTTATGTGCCTCTCTGTCCTCTCTGATTGGTTGTGGACATCTTCTTCTGAGTGACTAGTTTGATCTTCTGTACGTTTGCTTGGAGGAATCATAGGTGGTGGCCCCAAATGAAACTTTTGTTGTTGTAACTTCTCCTAAAATCAACATTAAATGTGTTGGAAGTAAGTAAAGTAAAGTATAAACATATGTATTTTTTGTCTTCAAACATCAGTACCTGTAGTGCTTTGATCTTGAAGTGAACATTCTCCTGAGATAAAACTCTAGTTGGTTCACTCTCTGTCAAGGACTGGTCAGCCAAAAAGATGCTGTCATGAGACAATGCTCGCGATCCCATGACTGCTGGATTACATCTAGGGATATGAAGTATAAAAGATTGTGTTAAAACTTAATCATAATGTTATATACTACAATTGAAGCAAATTATTACACAAGATCTTCATCAGATCCAAGTGCTTCCGCAGCTGTGATATCACTGGCAGACTGGCTCAGTTTTCTAGTTGCTTCTGCCTCTTTCTTGCTTTTCCCAAAGAGACGTAATTTTATTGACTTCAGCTTTGACTTTTTACGTCCTAAAGATTGGAAAAGAAGATTGGATTTCCATATTTATTATATTATATCATCTATACACATGATCTTTCCAACAGTTGAATTGCCCATGAGCTTTTTAGCATTGATTTTGTCCAATATAAATGGTTCATCTCACCTGAAACATCCTCAGTGCTTTCTTCTGTGTCTCCTAAGAAGGTCTCCATGTTTCTTCTGTGTCTTCTGCGATGATTGAAGAGAAAGATCAGTAAATAAAAAGATTTATCCAGTACCTATTACAAATACAGTCAGTTCAAGGCAGCAGAACATACTCCTGTTCATTGGTGTAGAAGTATAGCGATAGCTAGAGGTTGAGTTAAGAGCAAAGGTTTATTGGTGTTATCAGCACCATTACAAACCTTACAACTGGGAGTGCTGATACAAGAAGTAAGTTTATTGTGGCCAGTTTGAAAATCTCTTGTAATAATGTAATAATTAAGTGTCCAAATAATTTCTCTTGTGGATCAATAAAGTATGTCTAAGTCTAAGTGTAAATCTAAGTCTAAATGTCAAATGAGTGGGCCAGGGTCAAAATGTTGTAAGAAGCTTCTATGTATATACATTTTAATTTCAAACTGATATGGGTATGGGATATGGGAAAACAAAATAAGTTTGATATAATATAGCATAAGAAAACAAAACCTTTGACTATACCTTTGAAAGGTACACAGTGGTTAAGACTAATCAACATGTGTCAGTGCAAAAAGAGCTCATTCTTCCATGATGACTATGAGGTATACAATGTTGTATGACTGTCCTGTAGCCTAGAAACTGGTGTCAGCAGAGCATAATATCACCCTGTGCATGTTGCTTGATAAGACTAGTGTCAGATGATGAATAAACATGCAAAGTCCACATTTCCACCACAATATAACCATAGCTGCACACCTTGTTAGGTAAACCTTACAATTTACTCTAAACATATAATTTTATATTTAACTTGGAAATGCAACAGTAAAGCTGACTGTAGAGTGGTTTATGATCTCATTTAGACACGGCCAGACTATGGCCCCAACAGCAACACAGGATAATCTGGTGGATTATTAACATTGCTGAGAGATCCTTGTAAGATTTCACAGCACAATAATCCACAGTATCTGCTAAATCACAGGCTCCCAAAAGCCCCAAAAGCTTCTAAATATATCAGAGATTCAAAGAGAAAGTCCTAGTTATAACCTTTTAGGTAACACATATTTACACAAGTACAATGCATTTAAACTCACCGTATGTCTGTGGCAGCAGCAGTGCCTCTCCTTGTGTCTGTCCTCTACTTTTCCTGCCTGGTTTTGTTTGGTCCTGTTCACAAACTGTCCCAGTCCTGATGTGTACACCTCAGCATTTCACCTATGAAGGCAGAGCAGACCGAAGGAGGGGACGTCCAAGGAGAATGAAAGACATGCGCTGAGAAAGAAAGAGAGGGAGGTCACTCCATGACAGAGTAAGCAAATGCACAAAGAGAAAAGAGGACAGAATGAAGAGAGGGAAAGAGAGAGAGAGAGAGAGAGAGAGAGAGAGAGAGAGATATTCTATTACATTAGTGGCACACTGTGGCCCTCTGCGCTAAGCTCCTTATAAAACGCTAACCTGATTTTTAGACCCAGAAATGAGAGGGGAAAATGCCCCAGCTGGAATGGGGACAGATGTACAGGAATTACAAATGATGCACGTTTATATATTTTACAAGTACTTTAACAGTACAGCAGTCGCAGTGTTTTCTGACAACATATCTATACATAATTTCTTATTATTTGATTAGTTGTCTCTT